GCTGAGGGGATGCGGGCAGGAGCGGGTGACCATGAACTTGCTGGTCTGTTTGGGTTCAATGTGGCTCTGTTCTAGGCGGCGTTATGAAGTCCTGTTCGTTCAGGTCCTTCTGCGAGCGGGCAAGGAGGGACGGATCCAGAGCACCTGGAGTGAACGTTCACTGCTGCTACTCAAACAACTGCAACGCAAAAAGCTTGGGTTCAAGAGTCACCACCTCGGCGAGCTACTTCTCCCTCCTTGTCTTTACGTTGCTGTGGCACCCGTTGTTGAAGCTGACATGAGGGGGGAAAAAAAAAGAGTATCCTGAAGAAATAAGCCTGCCTTCTTAGAAAGGGATGATCATATTTCCTAATCACATTACTCCACGTACCATATTTCTCGGTAGGCAAAAAGCAGTAGGCAGACCTGACATGTTCAGATAAAAATTGTTCCATCTGCTAAATATGTCTTGACCTATTGGTAGGAAACGCTGCCCTCTTCTTGTTTATCGTAAGGGATTGGTTGTGCAAATATGTAAATTTTTCCTACAATTTAGATAGCGTGTATAAAGGGAAGGAGAAATCTCAGCTGCAAGTAGCCTTGTAGTAGGGTAAAGGACAAGTTCTCTTCCAAATGCTGTTTACTGTTGGCAGCCATTCAAAAGCAAGCTAAAATTTTCAAGCACAAAGTTACTGAAAATTCTAGCAAGCAAATTAGTCTTTCAGAGAACATTTGTGAACCGGACAAAGCCAGAAAACTTGAAATAAGGATGATTTTATATTAATACAAACTGGTAAGAGAAGGTCATTAAGGGAACAATGCATGGAGGTATGTTATATTATGTATATTTGCTGGGGAAAAAAACCCTACCAGTCCTCTCTTTTCTGATCCTTTGAGAATCTTACCACAACACTGGAAGAAGAAAAACAAAACAAAAAAAAAAGACCTTGGAAGTTGTTTTGAACTGGTAAGCTCCCTCCAAAGATCAGTTGTTCTATCTCTGCTGCTGGTTTTGAGAACAAGTTGTTAATCCCTGTTTTGTAGGCAAATTATAACTTGAGTAATAACACTTTGATTATCCAAATTATTCTTGCAGTTTCAAGTATGTGGTTAATTCTTCACTGTCCTAAACTTTGTTCTTTGCGTAAGAGTACATAGCTCCCCCTTCAGTGACGTCAGTAAGAGTTTGAGTTGATCTGTGGTGGTTTATATATCCTTTTCATACTTGGAGATGTTTAGAGATACGATGAACTAAATCAACATTTTTAATAATCCCGTTCATTGCAGTCTTGCCAAGTAAATGATCCAGAATGGGCCACATCGTAGAAGGCATTGTGCATCACTAGCTAGTAGGCAGACGTTCCTTTGACGTGGTTATGTTGAAATGAGGCAAGATGAGAGAAGTGATGTAACACACGATGTGATAACACTAAGCAGGGTCTTGGGTCTATAATATTGGAGAGCAGGGTGGTACCTTCCTTTGATTCAAAACTCAGAGGGACAGACAAGCAGATGAGTGGTATTTGTGGATTTTAACGTCCAACTGTGATGGTCTGGTCTAATCTCTGGCACACAACTTGTGTAGAACTGGCTTAAAGCCCATCCGCTGTAATTGAAGTAGAGGTGGTCTTTCGAGTTCTAGTTTTAGTTGCCCATTTGGAAAAAAGATTTGATCGTCAAATTTATGGAACTCACAGAATACGTGGCAAAGTAGTTTTTCACTAGCTTTGTGTTGTGACTTCTTTTCAGTATAATTCTTTGAAAAATCAATTCCAGGCAGTGTGTCATAGAATTCTGCACATTCACAAAAATTTTATTAAGGTGGTGAACTCTAGAAAGCTGCTTCAAGTGAAATCAGTGAAACCTCCCCGTAGAGTATAACCCTAGCCTGCCTCGTAGCTGCTGCCTGACACGTGGACCAAACGGTCTCCTTGTTTTCTTTCACTTTTTCCTCTGTATGGATCCTTTCATCATCTCATGTAGATTGTGGCTTCAGACTGGTACTATTCTTCTGGGGTTTTGTTCGAACGGGCTCTCAGACAAGGAGGTTCTGGTCTGTGCTTAGTTGCTAGACATTAGTCTGATAAAGCCGTTGAATACAAAGATTGCAACAATGCAACTTGGCTGAGAATGTTAATTTAGACTTAAATACCTCATCTGTGTAAAAATCACTGAAGTTGGTTTAAGTATTTTTCCTTTCATTCTCAGCTTGAATCGGCTTCAATCTGTTCTGCTGCAAGTAATATGTATTGATTGTATCTTTATTTTCTGATTGTTCTGTAATGATAAGTCTGGACTGAATGTAATCTCTGCATATGCTCAGTGCATTTCCTTAATGAGAAAATAAAATACATGCAATGGCTGACAATGTCTCTTCATCTTTTAACTCGGATTTCCACTTGCATGTGGCGGTCTGCTTTCCCGCAGGAATTCTGGCTTTTTCTTCTGTCGGATGTATTTCTTAAATCTGTTAGATAACATAGTGAATGTTTATAGTTTTCTTACTGTGATATTTCCATGATAAAATAAGAAGGTAAGGCTTTATCCTCTTGACAAACACCATCTGTCGTTCCTGACTACAGCCAGGACTCGGATCTTCAGGCAGCTCACAGCCTCCCACAGCTTCCGTTTGATTCTGCCACCCCGCACGTAACGGGCTGTGTTTTGCTTTTTACAGGTCTGACATTTTTCCTGCCTAATTATGAACCTAAAGTGGGTATGCATGTATATATCTAGAAATTATAAACCGTATTTATGGAATCATGGAGGGGTTTTACCAGTGGTGCTTGGTATAAACATTAACAGGAAGACAAGCACAGAAAAAAATGGAACAAAATAGAAGGAATATTTTTTAAACTCCATTAAAAATACAGAAAATATTTTAAAGTTTCCATTGCCATGACTATGCAGAGCTTTCCCCAGTCATGTAAAACAGAGAGTAATTGTCTTCAGTTTGGTTCTTCTGAAGTCTAATCATTCCCGGCGCAGTGCCATACTTTTTCTGTCTGCCTTAATGCTGATAGACAGTTGGGACAAAAGGAGCAGAAACTGCTAATGAAACGCCTTCTGCTGCAACTAAAAATGACAGGACTTTTTTCTTCTGCTGTATTAGTTGGATCTATGCAGTGGATCAGTTGGGTAAATACTGGGTTTGAGTTTAATGCAACCCTCTCACCTTCAAGAAAGGATCTCCAAAGCAAGAGATTCCTAATTTCTTATTTCTAAATGAGAGAAACTCTCAATTATAACTGGTAGGACTTACAGGTAACCCCAAATCATAATTTCCATAATTTCTTTATATCCTCTTGGTTTTGGCAGTACAGACAGCATTTCCTTATTTTCCCAGTCTTCTCAGAGACAGTGAGAGCCCCTGGGACCTACCCAGAGGGCACATCTGAGCAAAGTGCCCCTCCGCTTTCTCAAAGACCATACGTGCAAATGTACGACTTAATTTGCGTCAATATTCATCCACACCTGACTTTTCCGCTGTGAGAGCAAGGTTCCAAGTACCCCTTGTTCTTGGTGAGGAATAAGCAATTCTGAAGGCTCATGAGCATTCAAATCTAGATTTTAATGATTACCTCAATACCGGCTGTGCTATTTAATGAAAGAAGTTTCACATACGTCTTGGTGTCGCAGACCACCATTTCTTTTTTAACATTTTTTCCATGTGAAATTTGAGTTGTGTGGCTCTGTTCAGTAGGGGTTAAAACAAAGAACACCCTTGTACCTTGTGCTATCACGTCTTTGTGTGCAATGACACCTCAACTGTGACAGATTTCATTGTGAGCATCACTCCAAAGGGTCTCAACTTTTCTGGACCCTGTAGATGTTTAGGAGGTAGCCTGGAGCTGGTGGCTGTGGCTGGTGACTGTCCTTCAGGAGCAGTTTTATGCTTCAGAAATCAGAAGTCCTGACTGCAGTTCATGGAGCTCAAGGTTATCACCCTCCATACGCTCATGCTCCCTCTTGTCGTCCAAAGCCAGCAGTGCACAGGGTGTTCTTAACTGGTGAATTTACGACATGCTTAGATGTAACATATTTACTCACAAAGGAGTGGAAAAAAATGACAGCAGTGTTAGTGCAAGTAACTGTCTATGAAGAGTGCAGCTAGAAATTCATCGTGTTGGTGGCGTAGGTGCAAGTAAACTTTGTTAGCATCTGAACAAAATCAGGGAAAAGCCAGTGTGGGACTCGGTTCAGAAAGAACCACAGAAGCAGCATGTGATATTTGGCAGTGTGGCTTTGTGGAAAGTAGGTCTTGTCAAAAACATCTCATTTGAGGTTACAGATTTTTGCTGATAAAGGCAAATACATAGACTTTGCAACATATTTCAGATAAAACTGCAGTCGTGATATACAGACTGAGAGTTCAAGAGCTAGAAGAGTGAAAGACTGCAAAAAACAAGTTCTCAGCAGAAGATCATCCAAATGGTATCTTGGATACAGGCGACCTCACATCATCTTTCTGACAATCTCGGGATGTTACCACAAGAAGTGTCACAAAAAGAACGGGCTGTCACAGTACCAGCATGTCTGCATCAAGATAGTCCTATGTGTTGCCATAGCGACCTGTTTGTAAGGGAGACAGGGAATGCACTTTTCAGGAACAAAACTAAAGCAGAAGAACAAGAGTGGGAGGAGATGCTGAGCGTTTTGCAGCCACCCTCCTCTGCTCCACGCTCAGCACCGGTGATGTGTGAAGCAGTACACTATCACTAAAACTGCTTACACCTATTCTAGCAACCTGATCTAGCCCCACAGGCAATAGTTCTTTCAAAACCTACCCTTTTAGCTACTAGCTCAAAAGACACGTAAGCATGAGACAAGGTCTGAAAGGTGAAGGGGATTTTCTCACTTGAAGTCATTTCCCTTTTCTGAGGACTTCTTGCCCTTCATCATCACTAAAATGTTTTTCATTTTTTGCTTTAAACACTCAAGGGAGGACGTATTTGAACATCGGCAGAGACTTGGCTGAAAAATTCATGCTGGTGTTCAAGCGCAGTTGCCGATCCCCACTGCCTTCATTTGAGACGCCCTGTCACCTTATTTTGAGCAATGCCGGTCACCCTCAGTGTCTGAGTTTCAGTGCAAAAAGGTCAGTGTCTGCAGGACAGGCCTGGAGCTCAGAGGGACTGGCTGGTATCTCTTCAGCTAGGTCAGAGCCTGATTTTGCTTCAAGACAAAATTTTGACGCATGGTTTTGCTCCTGTGCTCTCCCAACCTTCATCGAGCTTTTGCAATGTGTTCTTGAGATCCTGAGGGTGTTCATCTCCCCTTAGCAACTTGTTCTTAAGCCCTT